CATGATCAGCTGCCTCCTGCACATCTCCTACTGGGGATGTGCCCTCAACCAAGGTACATGCCCTTGACTGGAATCGAACCTGGGACCTTTCAGTCCGCAGGCCAATGCTCTATCCACTGAGCCAAACCAGTTTCGGCCATATGTTTATTTTATACTAGAAGCCTGGTGCATGAAAATTTATGCACTGGAGGGGGCGGTCCCTCAGCCCAGCCTGCCCCCTCTCACAGTCCAGGAGTCCTCAGGGGTGGGAGGTGACCCAGCGATCAGGGGAAGGCGACGCCCCATCACACCTCTGCTGCTGCCACTGCCGGCAGCACAAGCCTCAGCCAGCCCTGGTTACCTGAGCCTCAGGCGGCCCTGGGTGGCTGGGCAGCCGACATCTGAGGCTTGCCTGCACCTTGGGCTGGCCCTGGGCAAGTTGGGGGCTGAGGGGACTGGGGGTCTCCAGAGGCAGGTACGCGGAGTGGCCAGGCCGCCTGGGGTCGGGCCAGGCCTTGCTGCATGCCTGCTGCCCTGGCAGGGCTGAGGGAACTGGGCACCACCATCTTATGGCTGTGGGCGCTGCCATCTTTGAGGGTGTTGCAGTCAATTAGCATATTCCCTCCTTATTGGCTGTGAGCGCTGCCATTTTGCGACAGTGTGAGGGTCAATTAGCATATTCACTCTTTATTAGATAGGATATTATGCTTAATGCAAATGCAGATGTTTCATCACCTGTAGACTAAGTAACATTTACTAAGTACCTTTTATATGCAAGGCACAGCAATAGGATTTTCCCACATACTCTGTATCATTTAGTGTTTCCAAGACTGAGGCATTGACACTGCAGTTGGCTGTGATTAGAGCTCACCGTTTTTTCTACCTTTGAACACAGATAATCATTATCAGTGTTCTACCTGCAACCATCTATGGCCCCACATGTGTGCTTAGGTTTGTGTTTGTGTATAGAGATACAAATTTGTATTTTGGTGACTCTAAAAGTCACAGCATAAAAAAGATAACTTAATGCATTGTGAATTTTTAAAAATGTACAGTATTTTTTACACTTAAAAAGGTAATAAAGCATAGGTTTTATGTGTCATATTTCATTGCTTCTAACTCTAATTTTTCTCCTGTGCTCCAAACTTTTACTTCCCATCCAGAGTTGAAGGCTGCTTCTGCTTTCTTTTCCTATCTCAGTTAAAGAAGTCAGGACCCTCCAGTCAGCAACCCAGTTTTCCAAGATAGAAACTGGGGGTTACTTCCTACTGAGTTACCAAGTTGGGTACCTCCTAAATGTCTCTCATGTTTTCTCTTCAGGCTCACTGCTTATGTACTAACCCTCCCAATCTTGCCTGGCTGACTGTAATTATCTGCCTCTGGTCTCTTTGTGTCTAGTATCTTCTCTCCATCCACAACGTTGTTCCACTTTCCATTCTAAAACACAGGTATGATTATTTCTCTACTTGAAACTTGCAATAGTTCTCTAGTGCCCATAAGAGTAAGACCAAGGGCATTGGCAAGACATTATATGTCCTTCACTATCTGGCCCTGCCCTACTTTTATATCATTATCTGCTACCACTTGCCCAATCCTACAACTTTGGATCTACTTCTCCCAATGCTGGGTACTTTTCAGAGTCCATCTTCAAATACACACTTCCCACCCACTTATATATATATCTAATTATATTTTCTCCAATCTGTTTTATAGGAAGATTCCTTTAAGATTATTATAGATTTTGTTTTTTCCTCTGGACTTCCACCAAATTTTAAAAGGTTCATGGCTAAGAAATAATAAGACTAAAAGGCACTAAGTTTGGATGCCTTAGCATTGATGGTCCCAACACCAAAGGGAGTCAATCTCCTCCACCAGGGACTTCGAAGTACAGCCCATCCCCATGAATGCCATTGAGCGCTACCTGTGGACAGAATTTCTTTATCCACCAATGGGACTCACTGCACAGGTGCAGTGCATTTCTGTTGAACAATGGCTTATCAGCTGGATAATGTATTCCATACTATATAATAAAAAGCTAATATGCCAATTGACCAAATGGCAGAATGACCGTTCGCTATGCCATGCACTGACCACCAGGGGGCAGACGCTTAACGCAGGAGCTGCCCCCTGGTGGTCAGTGTGCTCCCACAGGGGGAGCGCCGCTCAGCCAGAAGCTGGGCTCACAGCTGGCCAGTGCACTGGTGGTGGTGGGAGTCCCTCCCGCCTCCGAGGCAGTGCTAAGGACCCCTCGGGGGATGTCTGCCTGCCGGCTTAGGTGGGGAGTGGGCCTAAGCCGGCAGTCAGACACCTCCTGAGGGGTGCTGGATTGCAAGAGGGCACAGGCCAGGCTGAGGGACCCCCCCCCCCCGCCAATGCACAAATGTTGTGCACTGGGACTCTAAAATATACATATATTTTATATATATTTATATATTAAAATATATAAATATAATATCCTATATAATAAAAGCCTAATATGCTAAGTGTCTGGTCGTCCGGTGACCTCTTGACTGTTCAACCAATCAAAGTGTAATATGCTAATGATTTGCTAAGGCCACTCAACCGCTCACTGTGACGTGCACTGACCACTAGAGGGGCAGAGAGTTGACCAGTCGCTCTAATGTGCACTGACCACCAGGGGGCAGACACTCCGACCGGTAGGTTAGCTTGCTGCTGGAATCCAGCTGACTGGGACTGAGCAAGATGGGCCGGACATGCCCTGAAGCCCTCCCATGGTCCCTCCCTAGCTGGCCAACCTCCCACATCCTTCCCTGGCCCCGATCGTGCACTGGTGGGGTCCCTCGGCCTGGCCTGCACCCTCTCGCAATCCGGAACCCCTCAGGGGAAGTCAGAGAGCCACTCCCCTCGGGAGGGTGCAAGACGCAGGGCTCATGGCTGGTGAGTGTTGCTGCAGTGGTGCAAACCTCTCCTGATCGGGACTGATTGGGCGTGAGCTTGTGGCAGGTGCAGTAGGGCCGAGATGAGTGGGAGCGGCAGGTAGGAGCTGTAGGCGGCGTTGGACTGTGGGTTTTGGCCCGATCCCCACAGGCCACCCTGAGGGACCCCACCTGTGCACAAATTCATGCACTGGGCCTCTAGTGTATATATAATTTTGCTTTTCTTTATAAGTATGTTATTCTTTCATCAAGGTAATAAACACCTAAGTTTTCATGGACAATTCTAAATGTGCATTATTCAATTTAATTTCTCTTGTTAGCAAAAAAAAAATTATAAATAAAAAGCAAATTATATTTATTTGGCATGTAAATAAAATTATAATACTGATAAAGATAAAAACTCAATTTCACTAATGTACATAAGGCCTTTATCAGCTAGTCCTCAATTTATCTCTGAAGTACATTTGCAGCATAAAAATTAAAGAAGAAGAAGGTTCAGTTATTAGCATTAGGGGACGATTTATTTATTTATTTATTTATTTTTCATCCCCTCCCCACTCAGGGCACTGCCCAGCCCTTATTTTATTTTTTAAAAAAATATATTTTTATTGATTTCAGAGAGGAAGGGAGAGGGGGAGAAAGATAGAAACATCAGTGATGAGAGGGAATCATTGGTCACGGCCTCCTGCACACCCCTCACTGGGGATTGAGCCCGTAACCTGAGCATGTGTGCTGACTAGAGAGTGAACCGTGACCTCCTAGTTCATAGGTAGATGCTCTACCAGTCTAGGGGATGATTTATACAAGTTAAATGATTGCTCTTGATACATCAAAGCCTATCAGAAAAGAATGCTAAAAAATAAAGGTATTAAGAAAACTTCTTATGACTGAATATATTTTGTGTTATGGAATAATGTACCTCTGTTTCCAAATATGTGATCCACATGGGTTTGGATCAGAGCTTTAGTTTCAAAACAATATGCTCTAATCAAAGGAGCTGACTGGTCCAGAGTAAAACATTATCATCATTAATGACATTTTAAAATTAAGTTTTAGTCTAGAAAAACTTCTTAACAATTAATTATAGCATGTGTTCATAAATAAAAAATTAAAACAAAAAACCTTCGACACTGAGGACAGAATAAAAGTTTGAATGATTTTCTACTCTAAAACAGTCACAAGATGATTTTTGTTGCCCCCCTTTGTTAAGACCCAACATGGATACATGCTGGCAAACTGTCTTCCTGTGCAATGTGAAAGAGAACACTTTTTAAAAACAGCAATTTAGTTCTTACTTAAAAGGTAGGACCAAACTCCAATCCCATATAGGCCTGTGGGAGTTCTCAGCAGGACTCTCATCCTATGCAATCTGATAATAATAGATCACTCACTCTTGTTTATTTTAAGAACTCTCCCAACAAGTTGGGGTTGGAAACACCAATGTTCTTAGATATTATGAAGAGGGTATGTAATTGCACATTTAGCACACTATTAACAAAATTAGTTTATGGTCATTGAATATCAAATGGTAAGTCAGATATCTCAGATGTCATCCAACATTTTGGACTTGCAACAATATGCTGACTATGTTATTAAAATAGAAAACCTTTGCAGAGCATTAACCTATCATTACACAGAGTAAATGGCATGGCACTGCAGCCTAATTAGCAGTGTAGCTTGCATCTATAAAATAGAATTAGCACTACTGCTCCTTTTTTATTGTTAGTTTGTGTTTCTAGAAAGGTGTGACCTTATCTGTAAGGTTTGGTTCATTTATGCCCATCTGCAAAGGATTTAATTATGTTCTTTTAGCTCTACACTGAGGAAATTGAAAATGGCCACTTCAAAAAAATGTTAAAGAAATTAGTGAGTAGATTACTCCCTCACCCTTCTTTCAGAGATAAAGAATGAAAACATGTTTAAATAAATAAGGCATAAGATTTTCTGAAGAGAAAATTCTAGGCAAGGAAATTATTCATCATCTTCTTTCCTCTTTCCCACGTGTGTTCTGCAAGATTTTCCAGTTTGCCTGGGCAGCATGAGTTAAGGGAAAAGCGTAGTATTTGAGAAAATTCCTAACAGTTTTATCACATTAGTGTCAGCAGCCAGAAAACATCAACTTACATCGGAGGAAGGTGATTCCAGAACAATGCCAAATCCTAGGACGTGGTTCTCCCCCAAGGAAGTGCGCTCAGCTGCCTGGAGGGCCGACTGCTCTGAGGCCACACCTGTCTTCTTCTCGGTCTCTAACGCACTGGGCTTCTGCTTCACAGTAAGAGGTTCAACAGTCTTTGGGGGCACTTTTTTCTTTTTATTTCTCTTGCGTGAGACAGCAGTTCGCTGGGAGCATATAAGGGAAATTGGGGGTTGTTGTCTGTTTGGGGTTCCAACTGTGAACAATAAACAAAAATATGGTACAGGCACTTGTGTCCAACTTAGGCAAATGTCTCACCTGTCTATCTGCATGCTCCACTGGCTGAGACTGCAATGGGCTCACCCAAGGATGAAGCACACCACATAAAGCACACGGGACCTGGATTTACCAAATAAAGGCTCTGGAGCACCTTAAAGTTCTACAGGCAGAAAACACCCCAGAGAGAACTCTGCTGCAGATGCTGGCGAATAATCAGATCGTACTGCCACAGGAGGAAACATCTGAACATGATTTTACAAATCGTATGGCATTGTTATGTAAATGAGAACTCCAGAACTTAAACTGAGGTGTAGATAGCCCTATATTTTCTGGGAAGGCAGTCTCAGGAATATTCAATTGTCATTTGGGGTTAAACTGATCAGTTGATAGCACTAAAATGGACAAAGACTGGACAAGGATGAACACTTGGGTAAGTCTGAGCAAATGAATAGTCTGGAATGACCAGTATGCCTGTACCAGTAAGCACGTGGGCAAAGCCTGCTAGTCACTTGTCAGGTCCTGTAACCCCTTCCTCACAGACATCAACTATCTCCACAGCACTACACTGCAGGCTCAGACCTGGCCACTTCTCCACACCTCAGTTTTATGTGGCTGAAAAATAGAAATAACAGAGTCCTACACACGTCAAGCAAATGAGTAAAATCCAGAAATAGTTTGCGTTCCAAAGACAAAAAGCACTGAACAGGAACTAAGTACTAATACGGAAAATATACTTAAAGAAACAAGTACGGTAATTATAGTTTTTACAGGTGCACTTTGAGAAGTAATGTTTGTTAACCATTTAAAAATACTCTCATGGAAAATTTAAAAGAAAAATATGAAATTTTCATGTATTAATATGGCTTACTAAATGTGATCATAGAATATGCCTGCCTTTTTGTAGAAATACACCTATAAATATGTCAAATGAAAACTGAAGATCTTTAAATGCAAATAAATCTGGAATATTTCCTATCAGCTTGCAAATAAACAATATTTACACTTTAAATTTGATATTTTCATTTCCAGCCTATAAAGAAATTTTTAACTGTTGGAAACAAACTACGGACACTGCATATAAACTGAAAAGTTTTTAATCACCCATGCAGTAATTCAATGAGCTTATGGTTTCTCGACCTGGAGCTTGAAAAAAATCTCAGTGCCTCAGCCTTTCCCCAGAATAATTGAATCAAAATTCCCAAGCACTGAGATTTTTCTAGAGTTCCTCAAGTAATTCTAATGTGCAAGCCAGAGTGGAGAACTTTTCTCTCTTCTCTCTGAATTTTCCCCAAAGTCAAGTGGACTATTAAAGCAATTATCAAGATAGTCTAGAACACACGCCTCTCCAAGACTCACTATTCTAAATTAAAGGTGAACATATTTTTGGTTTCAACACAGGGACTATCAGTTTTCTTCTCCTTTTGCAAGTCTAGACATAGCCAAAGTTTCTTGCATCCAGATTTTATTGCTTGATCCTACTACCTTAAAGCAAAGATAAAACGTTCTAAATACCTGTCTTGAAGGAAATAAATTCTAGCCACACAGCATACATTTTTTGTTGTTGTTGATTTTTTTTTGTTAATCCTCACCTGAGGATATTCTTTGCATTGATTTTTACAGAGTGGAAGGAAGGGAGAGGGAGAGGAAGAGAGAGAGGGAGAAGAGCGAGAAACATCAATGACAAAGAGACACACTGGCTGCCTCCACATGTGCCCTAACCAGAGCCAGGGATCAAATCTGCAATCCAGGTACGTCCCCTTGACCAGGAATCAAACCCGTAACCCTTAGGTGCACGGGCCAATGCTCAACCACTGGGCCACACCAGGCAGGGTGCTCACCTTACTTTTATGCAATCTTGGGTGACTGAAATGTCTTAAGTAGTAAGCTTTTCAATATCAAAACCACATCATTAAATATTAAAATTTTACTAGAATTCACTAAAAGGCACCACATACAATTTCTGAACCATAACCTTCATAAATACCTTTACAATGAAAGGAGGGGAATGCTAGTCACACATGACTGTACTATTTCCTGCTTTCGGCCAAGGCCAAGAAGCTGTTTTCCCTGACAAGAGGAAAAGTTTAATAAAATGATCGATTATTTTCGGTACATGTCACAAAAAAGTTCTGTTTCTCCCCTAATTGTGAAGATTAGAAAACAGAGCCGCGATCATCAAGATCTAGACTTCTGTAAAATACTCTGTGGTCTTTATTACAACACTAACAAATTGCTTACACTTGTGCCATGCCTTACAGAATTCATTTACTATCTCATTCTCCGTTGAAAACAACCCTGAGAGTGAGAGGTTAGTACTCCGGAGACAGGAGAGAAATCTGAGGCTCAGAGAAGTCACACAGGAATAAGGGGAGAAACTGAACTCTCATCCCAAACTGCAAATGCACTGCTCTTACATTCTTCAGCCTAAGAGGAGTGAGGACAAAAAAGGCGTCATGTAAATGAAGAAGACAAACCGTGCGTGAGCTCCTATGTCCTGAATGTCAGGGAGAAAAGCCACCAGCAGGGCCCATGCTTCCCTAAGGCTTCTTCCACACCTACCGGACCGTGTGGCTTCCACACTGTCATGCCAAGCGCCAAAGGGACTCGTGCAGGAGTGGAGGCCAAGATGCAGGCAGCCAAAGAAACTGAGCACCTCAAGGGGCCAGATAAGGCAGCTCATTTTCTTTCCTGATCGGAACCTCTTTGTCTGTTCACATTCGGACAATAAGCTGAAGAACTCTGCCCACCTTCATGTATAATTGTTTCAAAATATAATGAACCAACATGTGAGGTGCTAGGAGATCAGGGGGTGAGCTATACAGAGCACATGCACATAGGTAAAGGATTAGTATTATTAGCAATACAAATTTTGTTAGATGTTCTAAAAGGAAAATAGGTTGGCGGAAAAGCTGAGAAAATGGATACCTAAAAAAATAATAGCAAGACAGCAGAGGGAAGAACTGAACAATAAAAGCACAATGAAAAACATCCCAACTGAAGATGTCAGACATGCATTAAGAATCAGGGGACTTGATCTGATGTGTAATCATTGTACCTGCTTGAACTTGCATTAATTTCCGCATGGTCTTGAGTTCTTGGAGAATGGCCTGCAATGTTGACTGGCAGTTACAAGTGCAGCAGTTTGATCCAAATGATGAATTTACCACTGGAAGTTCTCCTAAGCACGAAAGAAAAGAATTACATACTCCAAACAATACCGAAATTATAAAGAGAGGGGGAAAAGGTATCTTGACAGGACTTTGAAGCCTGTGCAATTATGAGACTGCGCCTAAGAAAAACGTACCCAATAATTTTCACAACTTAAATTTGGGGGTCTGACTTTATCTAATTATCCAGGCTTCTCTGTATTATAAGGTTCCTGCTGTTTCACGGGTGGTGGAACCGCAGGAACGTCCGCATACAATGCGCTGTCACAGCAGGCCTCCCTCTAGTCACACCAGTTCATCTCAGATAACAATAGCTTAAAACTTCACTAGAAACATGCTCATGCTATTCTGCACAAAAATCTAGCTCTGAGAACCGCCTTACAAAAACCTGGTAGCTACATGTGTTATAAAGGTTCCGGTTAAGAATTAAATGTGTCTAACTATTAAAAAATAGTCTTAGTATTGAGCATGCTATTTCAAAAATTAAGAACTGTCAACACATTAAAACTTTTAGACACTCTGAGTGTGGTGGGTGGGGTGGGGAAGAGTGGGGGAGCAGAGTATGGAAGGACACTTGAACTTGTACTGGCTTTTCTCCACCTTAATAAAGGCAATGATCCTATATATTTTTTCCATTCCCATTCCTTAGATTTCCCTCATTTTAGACTATTTTAACTGTTTAAATCTAATACATTTTCCTTAAAATATCAATCCTATTCTGTTTCCCTTAGAAGTAAAAAAATTATTTTTATTCACCTTAGAATAAAATGGAACATTTGGAAAATCACTGTTTCAGTGGCGTTCCCTCTGCATCAGTATCCAACCACTACCATAAAATGGACTGTATAATACACTACTATCACTTCGGTTTTTTTCATGGGTGGAAGAGGTAAGCTCTAAGGTAGGTTTTGGTCAGTTATATCTTTTATTATACATTGTATGTAATTTAAATGTGGATACAAAAGAAAAATTCACTACAGCAAAACCATGAAATACCTAAAGATAACTTAATGTTTGGAATAGCACAATTATTTACATTCAAAGTTATAGCAAACTGAGATGTTATAACACCTTGAAATTGCAAATAATTTTAATGACATACCAGTCACAGTTATATATAATAATATGAAAATAAACATAAAAGCTCTATTTTCAAATGAATATGAGGGAATTTCTGTTTGTAGCTTTTCACATAATATTTTCCAAAGTAAATGCACTTCCTTGTTGTATACTGGAAACCAAACTCTGTGAGCCCAAAACGTACTGATGTGAGATGTACTAACTCTATTCACACCTGAGGGCATCTTATTTCTCTTCTTGTTTCTTCCATGGCTGAAGAATCAGGAGGGCCTTGTAGAATATGCCTAGTCACTATTTTAAGTACTGTCTTTATCCTTTTTAGAGGACAAACCAACTCTTTTCAGTGTGTTATAAATCATTTTCTAATTTGAAAGAGAACTGCCTTTTTATTTTTATGGAGGAGTCTTTCAAGAGTCATCTCTCTCCAACCTGGAAGCATGCCAGCCTGTGAATCTGACACTGACTTATGTAATATTGAGGGAAACAGAAGACACCGGTACATCTCGTGGGGTCCCCTGCTATCTCATCAGCAGTGTCTCAGGATGGCTTTTCATGCATCTGAACTGGTTACTGGGAATTGTGTTGAAAAAACAACAATCAAAACAGTTCTCTTCATCTTGAAGATAATAGATTTAAAAAATCCTTTACTTTCAAGGAAAGGAAAAATGCATTACTTTTCCTTGTTTTCTTTGTGTGAACTGAACTAGAGAACAGCACATCTATACATAATTTATAGAACAAGTTACATCCAATATCAATGGATAGAAATGAACATGACTGAAAAAAATCACCCATTTTTCCCTTACGCTTTGAAACACTACCATTAATTTTTTTCTAAACAATTAGATATTTAAATTAAGAAAATGTTACTTTAAAGGGCTGCATTTCAACTCTAATGAAACAAGTTATGAACTATGAATCATTTGGTTCAGTAGCTGGAATGTGAAGTTAAAATGAAGGTACTAGGGTGCTATGCTATCAGTCCTCCCTTTAGCTATGATTCCTCTGAAGAAATGCAACAATGTCAGCAAGAGGATATATGAGTAGTACACCATATGACCAGGAAGCTTCTTTTAATGACAAAAGGGGGCTCTTTCTACCCTAATGTTCAGTCTTTTGTGACAATATTGATCCATCAACAATGATGGGCTAAAATCTCTACTAAGAAATCACCACTTCTACTACAGAACCCCCAGTCTTCCCTGCTTCTCAATTCTGGTATTCTATGGTCTGCAACTTTTCCACTATGTTTTCCCTGTCTTTTGAAATAACTGAGCTAAGACAGCTGATTTAGGGAGGGCTTACTGTACAGCAGGTCATCAAAGAATGTCATCCTACAGAACAAAGCCTAATATGCTAAGTGTCCAGTCGTCCGGTCATCCATTCAACCAATCAAAGCGTAATATGCTAATGATATGCTAAGGCCACTCAACCGCTCACCATGATGTGCACTGACCGCTAGGGGGCAGACAGTTAACAGGTCGACCAGTTGCTATGAGGTGCACTGACCACCCGGGGGCAGATGCTCCAACCGATTGGTAAGCTTGCTGCTGGGGTACAGCCAATTGGGACTGAGCAAGACGGGCCAGACGGGCCCTGGAGCCCTCATGTGGTCCCTCCCTGGTTGGCCAAGATCCCGCGTCCCTCCCCGGCCCTGACTGTGGGTGGGTGAGTGGGAGCTAATCAACCAAAGACCATCTATATAATAAAAGGCTAATATGCAAACTGACCAAACAGCGGAACGACTGGTCACTATGATGCGCACTGACCACCAGGGAGCAGATGCTCAACACAGGAGCCACCCCCTGGTGGTCAGTGCGCTCCCATAGGGAGAGCGCCGGTCAGCCAGAAGCCTAGCTCACGGCTGGCGAGTGCAGCAGTGGTGGTGGGAGCCTCTCCCACCTCTGCAGCAGCACTAAAGATGTCTGACTGCCGGCATAGACCCCCTGCCCTGAGTGCATGAATTTTGTGCACCAGGCCTCTAGTTTTCTTATAATGTTGATGAGAAAGAAATCGATTCCAGGTCTGGGCCACTATCTGTGTGGAGTTGGCATATTCTCCCGGTATCTGCGTGGGTTTCTCCAGGAACTTGTTTCCACCCACATGTCAAAGATGTGTACCTGAAGTTCACTGGCGTGTCTACATTGTCCTAGTCTGAGTGAGAGTGGGCTGTGTGAGGCCCTAGGATTAACGGTATCCTTGATCTTTGCTTTGTGCCCTGAGCTGCCGGGAAGGGCTCTGGCCACCGGTGACCCTGAACTGTAGTCAGGTGGTTGGCAAAGAATCCTCTTACTTGTTTTTAATATCTTACTTAAATGCATGGAATAGCTCACATTTACTTCAATGTTTAAAATTAGGGTCTTTATTTACAAGTTTGGTGGTGCTTTTGTGATAAGAAATAGGTCGTAGGAATTTAACTCTTGTTTACATTAGTCTATGGTAAAATTGATTTCATTTCTTATGCTTAAAAGTTGCAGTTGCCAAGAACCTATTGAAAACCTTAGGTGAACATTTAGGAATAAAACAACATTCAGACAACCCCCATAAGGACACTCTGAATGTCTAACAGTACCTACCATTGGAACTCCCCGCAGTGTGGGGCTGACTCTGGAGGGTTCTCGAGCGAGGGCCAGGCTGCCCTGAGAACTGGCTCTGGGCGGGGAACTCACTCCAAGCACCCCGAGAAGAAGGGGGGAGGCTCTGTGGGGCCTCAGCAGAGGAGTTCAAAGGCTGAGGCCAGACGGAGTCCAAATCCTGGGGTTCTTCTTTTAACTTCTCTCCTTCCTTGCCAACACGCTGATAGATCCTCCCAGTGCTGTCATTCAGTAATCTTCTCATTCCTGTAATTTGCTTTTTAATTTCCATGCTTTCACTTCCTAATGGGAACAGGGCACAAGAGAGCACTGTAAATTAGCAAAAGAAAAAATAGTGCACTATCAAAAATGCCACCACCCCTTCTCTGGAAATGGCAAAGATTCCTGCTTCCAGATACAAGCTTCTAGATACTAAGTAATCCAGAAAAATTAAAGGCAAGGAAATTGGCTATGGCTGAAGAAACCAATTATATTTCTGGTGCGTCTCAGTTTAATCTCTTTCTGGACAAATTTTCTTATGGTAAAAGATTTCTTGAGTGCGTTTCATCTGGGGTACACTTTAAATTCCTTCTTGGGAGTGTTTTCTGGGTGACGGCATCATAAGAAAGCAGCTGAGGCAGAAGATGGGGGGATGGGACTACAAGCCTGAAATCCCCTGCTTGGAGCTGCTGCAGCCATCCACTAACCTGGCGGCAGTTAGGTGCAGACACCAGGGAGAATGTGTGGCACTGGTTGAGATGCAGAGCTTTTTGGGCAGCAGTGCCAGTAGGACACGGTCGGTGGAGACATCACCCTCAGAGGTGACAGTGCAGCAGCAGAGAGACATCGAGGCACAGGAGGAGGCTTTGTCTTTCTCAGCCCAACTCACAGGGAGATGCCCCTAGAATTGGGACTCAGCCCAGTGATGTCCAGGGGTTTAAGGAAACTTTTATGTACTGTTTGGAAAGAAGTATCTTCCTTTTTTAAAATGGCAATAAGTATATAAATTCTACTTTTAATATCTAACATGGGTGAACACAGACATTACATAGATTTCCAAACTTACAGTATTATTATGTGCTGCCATATGCTTGAGAGGAGAAATATTTTAATTTGTAATAGAACCATTTTTGTATCAAACACCTATAAAGATCACAGTATAGAAACAGTAAATCATATTCCAGATTTTATGAGAATGACCAAGCACGATTTAAATGACGCAGGCAGCAGAATTTACAACCTCTTCAAGATGTCTAGAACAGGGTGTGTCTGGAGGAGCTCCCGGAGGAATTCTGGAAGATAAATCTACAGGCAAATGTGGTCGTTAGTTCCAACACCCAAACACATACTTTCCTGGCTAGCTAGCAGCATGGTTTGGGCAAGAAGCAGCTTCTTTCCTGCAGGGGTCTTGTCCTCGGTCTTCTAGATCAGGGACATTGTGCACCCACCAAAGGCTGCAGCACACTGGTCTTCGCTGGCACTGCCTGGTGGCTGCCACTCCCCTCCCACCTGGTTCCCTGGCAAGAGCTGCATGGCGAGGCCACTCTCTCCCTGGCTGAGTCAGTGCCGGCTTGCTTCTCCACAGGAGCCCTGCACATCCCAGCACAAGGGATATCCACCTCTGCTCTGGAGATCGAACGCTATGATAAAGCACTGCCGGAGGGGGAGGGGGAGTCCGGAGGAATATGGAACTTTCTAAGAGCACATCTGCTTTGTCAGGACCTTAGTCTCCTAGTTCCAGAAGTTATACCTCTGAAAATCACAAGACTGAAATACAATGTGAGTTTTGCATACTCTGTGGAAGACCAGATTCCTGATGTGGGTTGAGTGGAGGAAAGAAGGGAAAAGTGACCCTGACTGGTTTGGCTCAGTGGACAGAGCGTCGGCCTGCAGACTGAAGGGTCCCAGGTTCGATTCTGGTCAGGGGCATGTACCTTGGTTGCGGGCACATCCCCAGTAGGAGGTATGCAAGGGGCAGCTGATCGATGTTTCTCTCTCATCGATGTTTCCAGCTCTCTATTCCTCTCCCTTCCTCTCTGTAATAAATTCAATAAATATATTGAAAAAAAGAAAAGAAAGAAGGGAAAAGTGGAAAGGGAGATTCTGGTTGTGGGCTGCCCCTCTAACGTTTAAAAACATTTCTTCCGAAGTAAAAACAAAAAACAAACAACAAATTGGGACCTGGGGCACCACGGAGGAAGAGTGCTGTGACGGACAGACGCAGCCAAGGCCTCCCCGATGGACTTCACTCCGCAGAGAGCCACAGTCTATCTGACTGCGAGGACCTTTTAAAGGGCAGAAACTAGAAAAACGCAGATGCCAATGAGAGGAAAGTGAAGAGACTGTGGAGAAGGTGGAAGAAGGGCTTACTGGGGGACAGCTTCTTAGAGGAGACAGGCTGGGTGTCCTTACAGGACAACTGGATGTGTATGAATGATCTCTGGGGTAATTGAATTGTCCTACCTTTAGCCAAAGAAGCAGGGAGCAACCCTGAAAATACCACCTGTGGGGACAGGTCCTGGACCCTGAGTATACATGGGCTCTGGCAGTGTCTCCTTGCATATTTGGGACAGAAAGAACAGAGGGTCAGAAAGGAGACCTGAAGGTTGTAGGTAGGGATGACCAAAAAAGCTGAGTCCACCCACATTAACTGACCGCAGGTGAGCGAGCCCGCAGAAGCTCAGCCCCAGATGCTGGGGTGGGGCCTGGGCAGGTCTGGTCGGTAATACTGGAGCCCAAGTTGTGTGTTTGTTTTTCAATTGAGGGAGCCCAAGTTCTTTGATTTTTAAAAAATGGTGCAAGGTATGTAAGAGATTGATAGTTGAAGCATTAGCCGCCCTCTACTGTCTTTCCAGTTCTAATTAGCCAATATATCGTCCAGGGATAAATGCCAGGGAGAGGAAGCTGTTAGGGGCCATGGGCTATCCAAAGAAGTGCGATTCCATACAGAAATCTATTCACTTTCCTGATTTCTTTCCAAACCTCGCTATGTCTTTGCTTACACTCAACTCTAAGAGGCGGAATCTTTCTAGAAAAACAAACAAAAAGAAATCTTACTAAACTGGATCCATGCTATGTGGCTCTCTTTCTAGGTAAAACAACCTTAACTGAAATCCTGTTGAGAGGTTAGTAACTGTGCTCCTTGGACAAGATCTAAAAAAGGTTGCAGCCCTAGCTGGTTTGGCTCAGTAGATAGAGTGTCAGCCTGCGGACTCAAGGGTCCCAGGTTCGATTCTGGTCAGGGGCATGTACCTTGGTTGTGGGCACATCCCCGGTAGCGGGTGTGCAGGAGGCAGCTGATCGATGTTTCTCTCTCATCGATGTTTCTAACTCTCTATCCCTCTCTCTTCCTCTCTGTGAAAAATCAATAAAATATATTTTTTAAAAAAAGATTGTAGGCTGAATTCTACCCTTCCCTAAATTTCAAGACTCTACCAGATCACTTTCCTTCACACAAAGAATTTATTAACCCCTAGAGTGTCGGGGAGCGTGATCGCGCTCCTCCTGTCTTTAGCCAAGAGTGTCAGGAGCGCTATCGCGCTCCTCCTGCAGTGTCACTATTAGATGCTAGTAGTTCACTCTTTATTGACAGATGGCACTTAAGTGAAGATTACTTATGATGCCGAACGTTTGTAGTTCTAAAATTGACCACTGGCATTTATCTGCCTAACTTTTTACAGGTACTGCGATTTTATGAAGTTTACTCAGATTTTGTAGCCCTAAAGCTTCGAAATGGCGTCCAGTTCTAAGTCTGCTTTTATTAGTGATGATAATATCGCTAAATATGTCAATTCTTGCTGTGAAGATGACGATTTTGTGGAAGATATTGGAGAAGGGTGTCCCTCTATTTTAACATTATATGTTTTGTTCAAAATTTTTTTCTACTAGTATTTTATAATACAATCAGCAAACAATATATGTCAAAGATGAAAACAAATGTAGTAAAGGTTTCCTTAAGTTTTTGAATATGTAACTTCATTTACTTTCGATTCATAATTTTTTTCCTAAACTGCTGTAAAATCAGCAAAAATGCCTTGGCAATTTTAGCATAGTTCCTAGGATATTGGTTGGCACTCAAAGGGTTAAATACATAGAGTCTTGTAACAGAGAAGTCATCATATAGGATCTCCCTTCACTTGGCCAGGAGAGAAAGATATACCACACAGAACATGATTGATTATTCATGGTCTGGGATTATAAAAGAAAAAGACGGCAACATACAAAAAGTGAGCGGTTGAATGTAAAGATCATATGTCCATCTATGTATGTCTTCTTAGAAGGCTCACGAAGAACAGCCATCATATCTCTGCCTTATAAATGAACAAGTGTTGACGCATAGTAGGTATTCATCAGTAAACCTTTTTTTTTTTTTAAATATATTTTATTGATTTTTTACAGAGAGGAAGGGAGAGGGATAGAGAGTTAGAAACATCGATAAGAGAGAAACATCCATCAGCTGCCTCCTGCACACCCCCCACTGGGGATGTGCCTGCAACCAAGGTACGTGCCCTTGACCAGAATAGAACCTGGGACCTTTCAGTCTGCAGGCCAACGCTCTATCCACTGAGCCAAACCGGTTAGGGCAGTAAACCTTTCTTAAGTGAATAAAAGAAATGGCTGACGAGAACTGAAATGAATCCAGTAGAATTCAATGTAATACTAAGGTTATAAACAAACAGTATCTTCATAGAATGGAGTAAAAAAGTAGCAGAAATAAATTGTCCAACAAACAATTATTAAACGGCTCCTAGGCCCCAGAGATATAAAGATCATCTGGTACAAATTAAAAGGCACCCACATTTCTCAGCATCTTTTACCTAAATCCATTTATATTCATCCTGAGAAATGGGCCTGATTTTTCCCAGCCTGCTGATCCCTACCTCTTTTAACTGTGGCCCCAGAACTCTAGTGAGCAAAATGCCGGACTATTTGCAGATGACTCTGCTTTCCTGCTAGAGCTGACAGACCTGCCCTGCGGAGCCTTCTTTCCTGGCAGCCCCTGCATGAAAGCTATTCACCTCCCATTCCCCTGGGGCTGGGAAGGGTGGCTTCCCAAAATGTCATTCTTCCCGCCCCAGGAGGAAGCTTGGACTTGTCGAAGTCGATGCCACAAAGCTGTACCATCTCCTGCTCTTCTTCCTGCAGTTCTGTGCACTGAAATTTAAGATTCTTAAGGGGCAGTGGCAGGTGATGAAGTTGAAACATATAGGAAGGTCATCTCATTAAGGGCCTTACCTGCCAGCCGAAGGAAGAGTGATTTTACACTGGAGATATTGGGCTATTACTCTGAGTAATTTTAAATTCATTATCTCTTTTAATATAAGGATAGTAAATAATCAGATCTATCCTTTAGATCAGGGGTCCTCAAACTACGGCCCGCGGGCCGCATACATTTATCCGGCCCGCCGGGTGTTTTTGCCGCTGCTGCCTGTCTTGCTTAGCAGCCGACTCGTCCCGGCCCGCAGTGCGCATGTGTGGAATATCTGAGGGACAGTGAACTGGCCCCGTTTAAAAAGTTTGAGGACCTCTGCTTTAGATGAACAATTCTGGCAAAACTATGGTGAAGTGGTGTAGGAGAGAAAACCAGTTAGAACATTATTGTTAAAGGTTACATGAGTGAAGTGAGGTCTGTACCAGGATGCTGGGGGTGGGACTGGAGAGAGAGACACTTATTGAGCAGACCTGGTGATTAACTGGACACTGGGCTGGGGGTTGGGGTGGTAAAGGGTAAGAATCTACTAAAGATAACTCCAATATTTCTAACTGGGGTGACTGATGGATACTAATAAGTCAGAAAATTAGGAAAAAAGATTGTTGGAGAGCAGGATAGAATGAGTCTAGTTTTGACAAGGAAACTTTAAGTAACGAGCAGGCAATTAGAAACACAGTTGTGTGGTATCTACAGCTGCTGCTGAAGTAGCACTCTAAAACTATTATCAGTAGTAGTTACTACTAC